GTCTCTTAAGTATATATCTTCCTGCTTCGAAATGATTTTCGTATATCTATATATATATATATATATATATATATATATATATATATATATATATATATATATATATATATATATATATATATATATAATGTATTTCAACACATTGGAGTGGGTTACCAGCATCTCTCGCTGAACAGATATATTTGGCTTTCAGGCACAGATGAGTAGGCACTGGAGCGCGCTAGAGACTTGGAGCGTAGAATAGATAGTTTCCCTTTCGGCCTGCGTGCCATGCTTATGTACTGACATTATTGAGAATTTTAGTTAGTTAGCCTGTGCACCTGAGTTCTCTAGCTCAGGTGTGGCATAGCACCCCATACTCTTATGTTATGTTTTGGGATTTAATGAGAATTTACTCTTATTATATAAGTCTTAAAAGTTTTAAAATTTCGGGGTGTTACACTCCTCTTCCACACCAACTTCTTACACATAACAAAACACAACAAAGATCCTGACTTTAGAAAAATACACCTAAAAGGAGGTTAGAAACACCAAAAAGCCAAGGGATCTTACCCTTCCCTATGCTCAAGATGAAGAAAGTAAGAATCTTGGGAGAAAATCTTGCAAGACTTGGATGCTCAAATTCTAGCTTGGAGAAGAAGCTAAATCATTTTAGAGAGAGGCTAGAGTTTTTGTGTTTTAGGTTGAAGGGTGAATGAAATGAAAGATTCTTGCTAGGTTAGCTTGAATCAAAATCCTTAGGTAGAAAGACATTCCAACCCTTACTAATGTTGGAAAGACAAGGGAACAAGGGCACAACTCAAGAAGCACAAGGTACAACCCTTTGACTTAAGTGACTAGTAAAAATCTAGTCCTTCGACTATTAAATTTCAGGATTTTTAGGAATAGATTAGCAAAGAGTCTTGGATTAATTCTTCAATGAATCCTCGATTAGTGTTTGGATTTATGGGGTGTCACAGGCCCTCAAACGAGTTTTGCGTTATGTGCAGGGAACTCGCACTCTGGGCCTTCGTCTCACTCCTTCCTCCTCATTAGTTGTGTGTGCCTTCTCCAACTTAGATTGGGTCGGGTGTTCTCTTGATAGGAAGTCTACAGGTTACGCGGTGTTCCTTGGCCCCAATCTCGTGTCCTGGGTTTCTAGAAAGCAACGGACTGTGGCTCGGTCCTCCGCCAAAGCCAAATACAAAGCCCTCAAGCAAAAGTGACCTCGATACAATCTCTCTTGCGTGAGCTCAGGTTACATCCACATGACTGAGACTGCTTCTTCGCCAAAGAATGCTGGGATCAGTTCGCACGTGAAGGAGGACCAGTTGGGCGTCGTTTCATGATGTTCAACGATTGGATCACAATGAACAGCTCCAGCAACCGAATGATGGCGGATGGCAATATGTGGGGTTCTCTCTTTGTCTACTGCCTCTGGGAAATCTGGAAAGCGAGGAACAACCTCATCTTCAATGCTCATACCACCACTCCAAGTCAGATTAGCATTATGACGCGCAAAGGCTCCTTGGAAGCTTTTAAATATTTGGCCAAACACAAAGGCGTGGCCCATGGTAACTGGAAGTGGATTTCATGGGTGCCACCAGACCCGGGATGGAGGAAACTTAATACGGATGGGGCTATGAAAGGCAGCAGCGGGTTGGCTAGTGCAGAAGGGCTCATCAGAGATGAAGCCGGGAGATGGATCAAGGGGTTTGTCACAAAAGTTGGTCTGACAGATAGCTTCTCAGCAGAGTTGTGGGGCCTAAGGGAGGGCCTACGGCTGTGTTTGAGAGAAGGGGTTAACAACATTTGGGTTGGGATGAATTCGGCAGCAGTTGTCTCCATCATCAACATGGGTAATATTTCAAATGAACCTACGGCTTACTGGGTGTCTTATCAAAGATTGCTTGGACTTGGCTCGCAGGTTTAAAGAGTTTCGGGTCTCACATATTGGCCGGGATGGAAACAAATGTGCGGATTGGCTTGCTAACATAGGGCAATCAATCAACTGCGATACAACCATTCTTGACAATGCCCCGGATAGTTTGCATGGCTTGCTCTTCGCGGACACCATGAACACGCTGAACCTTAGGGTCAGATAATCGCTTCTTAGGAGGGCTTCAGATGTACCAAAAAAAAAAAAAAAAAGAATAACCTCTAGAATAAAACTTTAAACTAGACTTATATTATTCGTAGGATTTTATATATCATTCAAAATTTCAAATTATAGCCAACAGTAACACATTATATATATATATATATATATATATATATATATATATATATATATATATATATATATATATATTATACGAAGAAGTCCTTAATGTGGCTAAGCAACCTGAAAAGGTGTGGTTGAGTGGATGAAACTTCATTCTCGTATCATAAAGTTACGAGTTCTGTTAACTCAAAGTATTTTATCAAAGTTATGTGCAAAAAGAATTCCAGTTCTATAAAGGAATACCAGTGTAACACCCCCGATTTTAGCAAAATTTTAAAAGCTTAAATCATGAAGATAAATCTAACCATTTGATAAAACCAAGCGGAAGCTAATATCAATAGGGGTGTTCATTCGGTTAACCGAACCGAATTAACCGAATTTTTTTTTGCTTTAACCGTTAACCGAACCGAAGTTTACTCTACCGATTTAACCGAACCAAACTTTTTTTTGGTTAATCGGTCGGTTAACCGATTAACCGAAATTTTTCCCCTTAAAATTGGAAATCCTAAAAATAACTTCTAAAATAATAAATCCAATTAAAATAAAATACATATCATAATAAATTCATATCAAAACATACAAAAACAATACCATAAGTCCATAATCCATTGTTCATAGTCCAAACCATAATTAATGTCTTCATAAACATAACATAACAACACGCAAAAAGAAATCAATGTTCATCCCATGATTTCAAATTTTCCATCACTCCATCCTGATATCCACGATGTTTACTAACTTTACTCCATCACTCCTACATAATAAAAAATGTAACTGTGTAAGTATAAATAATAATTAACCACTTAACCAAATAATAAATAAAACTAACAAATACAACTACTTTCAAATATTAATTTTTACCTTAGAAATTCAAGAACAAACACCTTACTCACAATTCACAAGGTAGGTTCCAATGCATTCCATGAAGAATCTAAAAGATAAAACACAAAAAAATAATATATTAAAATTTTCATTTGTGTGATGAAAGTAAACTTAAAAACAAAAGGAATAAAATTTACATACCATTTTCAACACTTTCAAAGTCATTTAATTCTTGAAGCTCTTCAAAAACATTCAATGAAGGTGTTGAATTTTTTATCTAATCTTGATAGCGCACAAGAGCTTGAGCCATTCTAGGAGTTAAAGAACTCCTAAAGGAATCAAGAACACGTCCTCCAGTACTAAAGGTAGACTCAGAAGCAACAGTGGATATTGGAATAGCTAGCACATCTCGAGCCAACAATGACAAATAAGGAAAGCTAGGGCTATTAACTTTCCACCACAACAAAATATTAAAATCATTCGTCACTGGCTCCATAGCTTCACTGAGATACTTATGCAATTTCGACATTTGATCCCCACCACTACCTGATTGAAGTTTGTGCTTTACAAACTTCTCTTGCATACGCTTTTTCATCCTAGCTTGACATTCTCCTATATTTGAACTTGATGTTGGAGTGGAGCTAGATGACACAATGCTATTTGAAGGCTTATAAGCATTAAACAATTCATACACCGCATCTTTAACCTTGGTTGCCATATCCGTACCTTTTGTACCCTCAAACATATCTTTCAAAGCAAATTCAACATAGCAAAACTTGTGTCTAGGATCAAGAATAATAGCAACAAAAATTAGCATATTCAACTTGTCAATGCTCCCCCAATATTTGTGAAATTTATCTTTCATCTTCATTGCCATCAAACTAAATTCATTCTCACCCGAAGCTTTGCACTCTCTCAAAAGACAATCAATTTCACAAATCTCATCAAACAAGCAATTTGAAGTAACATAAGAAGTCCCGGAAACTCTATTTGTAACCTCATAAAAGTGCTCCAAGAATTTTACCAAGTCCCTAACAACTTTCCAATCACTTTCAATAGGAATACCATCCCCCGATTCAAGATCATCTTTAAAATTCTCATCTTGTAAATCAAACATATAGAAAGAATTTTCAAATTTTTTAGCACAATTTAGCATCAAATATGTTGAATTCCAACGAGTACTAACATCAAGGCACAACAAACTTTTGCTTTCTATATTTTGACTTTCAACACATTGTTTAAACCTTTGCAATCTAGATGAAGATTGCCTTATATATCTCACCGCCCCTCTAACACGAGCAACCGACTTATTCAAAAGTTTCAAACCTTCATTCACAATCAAATTCACTATATGTGCAACACACCTCATATGCATATATTTCCCATTCAAAATATTTTCATGTTTACTCCCAAACTTTTTTGCAAATAACTAATAGCAACATCATTTGCACTTGCATTATCAACCGTAATAGTGAACAACTTATCAACCCCCCAAGAAAGCAAGCATTTTTCAATCAATTTTCCAATAGCATCACCTTTATGACTTGAAATTTGACAAAAATTAATGTCTTTCTTATGCATTTTCCACTTATCATCAATAAAGTGAGCCGTGAGACACATGTAATTAATTCTTTGCAAAGATGTCCATGTATCGGTAGTTAAACAAACTCTATTACATGAGTTCCTCAACAATTGTCTCACTTTGATCCTCTCATCTAAATAAAGTTGATAAATGTCTTTTGTGATTGTAGTTCTTGAAGGAATGTGAAACCTAGGACATGCAACTTCAACAAATTCCTTCAAACCTTCACTCTCCACAAACCTAAAGGGTAGTTCACACTTCACAATCATATTTGCTAGGGCTTTTCTAATTGCTTCTTGATCAAACTTCCAAGATGAAATAGCCCCTTCCCCTTCATTACCCTTATTTTGCAAAACAATTTAAGATTGTGACTTATCAACACTATCGGGATTTTGATTACATGCAGTCATGTGATATTTTAATGATGCAGTTCCATTTCTCTTTGGATCACAAGCATATTTTTTCCCACAATGAATACATTTGCATGATGTAACACCCGAAGATGAAGTAATTTTTTCAAAGTGAGACCAAACTTCTGACCTTGGTTTCATTGTTTTCCTCTTTTTTGAATGTTGACTTGCACCCACAATCTCACTTGTTGAAATAGCAACTTCATCCGACAATGGACCCGTATAAGATGGAGAAATGTCTTCCATTGACATCTACAAATAACATTTAAATACTTGAAACATCAAACATAGAAACTAAATTGTAACGGTAGATTGTAACCTAATCCAGTGGCATCTTGAATTTCTGTAGTAAATTGTAAACCTAAGTTTACATCAAACATAGAAACTACATTACAATTTACTAATTCAATCATTTAGATTATACAATAAAAATATAATCCAGTGGCCACTGAAATAGATCCTATTCATTGAAATCTACAGTATTGCATTACACTGGAAAGTAATAACTTTGAAATCTAAATTTAATTATTAACAAGAAATAAAACATCTCACAACACAAAACTTGTTAACAATACAATATTAATACTCCTGCAAATTATTTAAATTAAAAAAAAAAAAAAAAAAAAAAAACTGACCTTTGAGTCCGAGTCGTGGAGTGGACCTAGTGGAGACGGGAGAGGACGACGGTGGCCTTGAGCATATGACGGAGAGGACGACGGTGGCGTAGTGAGCAACCCTCGTGCTTGTGGTGGTCGGCCGGCGGTGTAGTAGTGAGCAAACAACTGGAGAAGACGACGGAGAGTAGAGGCGTAATGGACTGAGGATGGACTGCCAGTACTGCCGCCGCCGGTGGAGTCGTGGAGACTCAGAGACTGTAGAAGACGGTGAGACGCAGAGACGAGAAGAAACGGAAGTGGCTGCTACGCAAAAGGAAACTACTGATATTAGGAATTTAGGATGATGGTTTTGGGGTTTTCGGGCCCAAGGAGGTCCAACACAACCTTTAGCTGGAGGATACACCTTTCGATAAAGTTTGCTAAAATAATATGGGCTCGATGATTTTGACGTGGAAACCGAAAGGAAAACCACGGGCCTTTTGGGCGGTGCCAAGCCTAATTCCACTATGCGTTTTGTAGGTGTCTTTTGTACATACTTGTAGGGCTATTCTCTATACAAAGTGTTGATTTTCTAATAATATAGTGGGAATAATAGAGATGAGAGTGGTAGAATGGTGTGGAAGATTCCTTCCATGTGTGTAGAGTGAGTGGTAGAATGGTGTGGAAGAGTCCTTCCATGTGTGTAGAGTGAGTGGTCTTCTTGGGAGAGTCCTCCCATGTGTGAATAACGTGATTGGAATCTTCTTGAGAGAGTGTTTGTGGAAGAGTGCTATGTGGCCTCCTCGTATGTAAGAATGGTACTTGGCAGAGTCCCCCCACATGTGGATGGGTGAATGGATGGCCTCCTCTTCTTCTTCTCTTCCCCTCCTTTTATAGCTAGCCCATCCCAAAAGTGTCCGTTGGACCATTTAGTAGGGTAGTTAATAGGTATTAACTTGGTTATTAGTGGGGTAATAAGTGGGAGACTTAATAGGTAGCCTTTATTTGGGGGGTTATGGATGAGGTAGATAAATAGGGTAGTAAATAGGACTTTAAGGGTAGATAATTAGGAGTTTAATAGGGGCTAACGGCTAGTTTTAGGCCGACCTTCTACCCGTGCCGATCCCACACTCGCGCCGGCTCCCGAGTCGAGCCGACTCCTCGGTTTGGCTCGTATCTCTTTTGGGCTTGCTCCATTTTCTTCTTGGGCTTCCCTTCTTTGTCTGGGCTTTATCTCTTTTCTTCTTGGGCCCCGAGCCCACGGGGTTCACACCCCATCAACTAGTCCCTCACTTTTCTATGTCTCGCGCTTAGCAGGGCATGGAAAAGTATATTGTCTTGCCTCAAAATTCCCTTTATTAGACCCCTCGATTTTGGCCGACTCTTTATTCCAAACGACTCCATCCTCATCGCTTCTCTTTGTTTGTCATATGACCGACTGCTTCAGTGGATGTGACCCTCTGACTTCGAGCCCCTTTTTTCTTTAGCCGTCGAGGTGAATCTCGGCTGTAACTTTTCCTTTCCTTGATAAACTCCTAAGGGTTTTGACCCTTGATTCTTTCTTTATTCGCCGAGTCCCTCTGTCGAGGCGACCCCTTAGGCTTTTTCTTTCTATGAACGGTTTAGGGTCAGTGCCCCGTTGTTTCTTTATATACTCGCCGAGTCCCTCAGTCGAGGCGACTCCTTTTGGCTTTTTCTCGGAAACGACTAAGGGTCTGGGCCCTTGTTTCCTATCTTTTCTCACCGAGTCCCTCAGTCAAGGCAACCCTTTAGGCTTTTCCTTTTCTCAGAAACAGTTTAGGGTCAGTGCCCCATTGTTTCTTTATATACTCGCCGAGCCCCTCAGTCGAGGCGACTCCTTTTGGCTTTTTCTCGGAAACGACTAAGGGTCTGGGCCCTTGTTTCCTATCTTTTCTCGCCGAGTCCCTCAGTCGAGGCGACCCTTTAGGCTTTTCCTTTTCTCAGAAATAGTTTAGGGTCAGTGCCCCATTGTTTCTTTATATACTCGCCGAGTCCCTCAGTCGAGGCGACTCCTTTTGGCTTTTTCTCGGAAACGACTAAGGGTCTGGGCCCTTGTTTCCTATTTTTTCTCGCCGAGTCCCTCAGTCGAGGCGACCCCTTAGGCTTTTTCTTTCTTAGAAACTGTTTAGGGTCAGTGCCTCGTCGTTTCTTTACTTCTCGCCGAGTCCCTCAATCGAGGCGACTCCTTTTGGCTTTTTCTCGAAAACGACTAAGGGTCTGGGCCCTTGTTTCCTATCTTTTCTCGCCGAGTCCCTGCTCGAGGCGAACCCTGACTATGATTCTTCTTTTCTGAGTAGACTTCTTGGACTCTTGGTTCTTTTACTGACTCGAGCGACTTTCGGTTGTAGCTTTACTTCTTCTTCCTTTCATATAGCCCTTTGTAGATGAGAAATTCTCCGAGCAATATTTTGGAATGTATATGCATTTTCTGCCACTAAATTTCCATTGTCAAGTCGTGCTCCCAAATTGCATGTCACATATGTACCCCTTCTATTTTTATTATTTTCACTGGCTTTGGAGAGATCGTTGGTACTTTTTGTGTGTTTGTAATTTTTCCCCCTTCTTCATCTTCTATCCGTATAACTAGACGGGTCAACCGCCCAAGGTCCGGGCGCTCGGTGGTTGACCTTGAATCTCGGTGGGCGGACAATCCGATGTCCGACACGGAGTGGTCGGCCCAGCGCGAATGAGCGGACCTACTCGGTCAGACTCTAGGAGTCGGCCTCGAAGCTGATTGGGCGGACAATCCAATGTCCGACACGAAGTGACCGGCCCAGCGCGAATGGGCGGACCTACTCGGTCAGACTCTTGGAGTCGGCCTTGAAGCTGATTGGGCGGACAATCCAATGTCAGACACGAAGTGATTGGCCCAGCGCGAATGGGCGGACCTACTCGGTCAGGCTCTTGGAATCGGCCTTGCCAGCATGCTTTCCCCACTAGACATTGCTACGTACACGCTCATGTCTCAATATTTCCATTATGCTTCTGCTTCCCTTCTTAATTTTTATACCGGCATCTTCACCCTTTAAATGTGTAAAATGGGTAAGGAAGTAACCACCAAGAATTTAAAAATGATCCTCTGCATAAGCTATTTCTTTTTGTGCTTAGAGTCAGCCACTAGTATCACCATTGAGAGATGCATGTCGGTGAAAAGCTATTCCATGTATAAAGTGTGCCTCGAAAAATAGAAAAAAGCCATGCTGACCAAAATATTTGTGTGCCTTTACCACTGACGGCCATGTATGCTTAATTCCCCTATTAATTTTTCTTGCTTTGAGGCCCCTATAATGCATGTATCACCCCATATTTGCTTGATATCCGGAATTTTTACGCCTTTTAATTTTCCCGAAATGTTGCATACGTTATGTATAGTCTTCCATAATTTTCTCCCTTCTCCAATTGCCTCCGTGCGAAATTGACGCATGAATGGGAAACTCCCATTTACGAATGCGTAAAAAAAGAAGGGTAATTTAGATCTGCATACCGGATACGAGTCAGAGTGGGCACCTTCCATAATCTTTCCTCGATTACCGTGCAAGCCCCATATTTGAACATTCGGATCTTCCTCCGTAATTCCCAGTTGTTGGTTCGCTCTGCTCATCGCCTCCAGAATATGATGGTGGTAGCATTCCGAGCCTGACTCTTCTTAAAAACAATTGCCAACTGAGATCTCTGCATAGAGACGATGTTTTAGTTCCTAATCCTTTGGTATTACCATTCTTGATTGATTTGAAGGAGTGCCCATTTGATCGATCCCCACTTTTGGAATGCCATTGTTACGACCAGTGAGTTCTTCGTACTCCGTGCACTATTTGAATGGCGGCGCGTCGGAGGGGTGAGAGAGCTGCGGCGTCAACCTGGAAGTGGGCGGCCGACGGTGGTGAGGCAGTGGATGTCCAGTTGATTTGTTCGTTGTTTCCTTAATCAAAGCTTGGGCAAAATGTTTCTTGTTGACTTCTTGCGTATCGTCGACTGCTGATGAAGGGCTCCGCAGATGCCAACGCTTTCTTGCTGGCCGCCGACCCCCTGTGGTTTTGATTTCCATCAAACAGCTGTGTCGAATCGCCCTTTTTTTCTACTTCGCTTATCTGTGATCAGCAGTTTACCAAGTGGTGACATGATTTCACATGTAGCCATTCCCGATGCCTGACAGGTATAAATCTCCATTGAGGGGATAGCGTCGACTCAGAGGACGGGGAAGCTTAAAAATGATGGAGGCTCAGCCGACTAAGGGGATCGACGGCGATTGTCGAGCAGCCGGCGATGAGAATGACCTGACCGACTTTACCCCTCTGTTGGCTGGAAAGTGGTCGACTCTTCTTCGTTTTCTGAAGGTCCATCGCGGCGGTTCGGGTGAGACCGAGTGGTGTTTCACAGTCGACATTCGATCCTTAGCCACAGACGGTCGACCGCCAATGAACGGAGATATGCCCAGCTGGAGATCGAGGTCTTGAGATAGGGTGAGAGAAGCCATCCTCATTTTCTTCTTGTTAATTACAAACAAAGATTGCAGACTCCTGAGAGAATAGAGAACCGAGCAATGCAAGCGGTGGCCTCTTGTGTGATATAAGATTCATAAATCTCTTCCTTTTTGCCACGTAGTGATCTCACGCCGGTCCACCAATACTCTAGCATTTTCCCTTCTACATATATTTCAGCGAACTGCCTTTTCTTGCTTTTGGGAGGCATCTGCACTGAGATTGCCTCATCCGATCAACTGCACAACTAGCCGGGATGGGATGATGTTATCCACATAGCTAGGAATGGACTCGGACTCGGCCATGAGCATGAAGAAGCAACTCTGATCCCGATGACTCGGACTATAAGAATGAAGGCGTCTCCGACGACTTCCACATGCAGTGTGTAAAAAAAATATGGCCATTGGGTAGAAAATTCCCTTTCCCTCCTCGATTGCTACGCACTATATGTAGCAAGAATTTACTTTCTGATACTTTCCCCTGAGTGTGATTATCAGCATGCTTAGCTTGGTATGGTGAAAAGCACAATCGGCTTTTCTTGTTGCAATGGTAGGAACACGTAGCTTTGATTCTGGCCTCAATTTCATTCTTTTTTGATGGTTGACTGCTCTTATTTGCTCTGACATATTGCGTATGAATTGATCTCGGAGGAACCGAGTGACCTGGAAGCCGACAACGGAGGAGCCTGATCGACCGAGTGCGGCTCTACCGCCAACCAGGCGTCTCTGGCGATCTGAGTGCTCCGTAGTCAGTGAGAATGAACTGGATTTGAGGCTTCTGTATAAGATCATAGATTCACAGTTGTCGCGTATGCTTTCTCCTCTGCCCAGGCTTGTCACGTATCGGTGTAAGCCAGAAAATATTTCCCTGTGCCGCATGTAAGAAACTCCTCTACCGTCTGTGATGGGGTAAGGACCCCGGCCCAAGAGATAGGGGCCCAAAGAAATTAGAAGTGGGCCAGCATCGAGAGGAGCCCAAAGAGCAATCGGGCCGAGTCCAGGAGTCGGCCGAGGCCTAAGCCCAGGAAAAGACACGGCTCGAGGAGCCGTTGAGGGCATTAAAGGGGTTCCTTTAAAAGAGAGCCGTTGAAGCATTAAAGGCAGGACCCGGTCGGGCTGTTACAAGCCTAGGAGAGCCGTTGGTCGACCGAGTAATGGCGTCCAACGGCTCCATATCTTGATTAGCCTTGAAGTCGCCCATTAAGGGCCTTCAAGTCGGCAGAGGAGGAGCCACTATATAAAGGTTCCTCCATTCTTGTAAAAGGTAGACATTTTCGGACACCCGAGAGAGGGGGGGAATAACAAAGAAATTCCGACACTAGCATTACCTCTGAGTTAGACGTACATTTTATTGAGAGGTGTATCCACCGACCAAAGGTTGTGTTGGACCTCCTTGGGCCCGAAAACTCTAAAACCATCACTGGCGCCGTCTGTGGGGATCGAAACGAAGAGTCACGTAGCCTCTTGAGTGAGGCGAGTCCGAGGAACGACAGTTAGAACCTCAGTCGAATTAGGAAAACTCCAGACATGGCAGGAAGCGAGGAACAGTCGAGCCGTCATGACAACGGACAGGAGGCCGACCTGAGAAGCCAGCTGAATCGGAGAAGCGCTCGGAGCCAGGAAAACGAGACGACACCGCCGCCGACGCCGCAGATAAACCGGCAATTGCCTCAGGTGCTGCTCACCCCGGAGCAGTTACGCGCAATCGACGTGCCTGCGCCGAAGCAAGCCTAGGAGTGAGAGAACAGTCCGTCACCCGCCAGCCGCAACGCGAGTTGCAACCGCCTCAGAGGCCCGACAACCGGCAATTGAGCCGACGGGCTGAAAGCCAACCGGTACAATCCGTTCATTCTCGGCTGGGTCCCAGCGTTGGCGTCGGTCAGCAAGAGAACGATTAGGCCAGAAGGAGCCCAGTCGTGCCCCACTAGCCGCCCGCGATCAACAAGCTGCACGAGAGAAGAGCCGAACCAAAAGAGCCAGGACTGAGACTCGTCGCGTGGAGCAACCCCCCCGCAACCCCGTCGTACCGGCTGAGTCTGAAGTCGGCGAGAGTACGGAATTCACGGGAAATCGCACCCGGGAGAGGGTCGAAGTGGGAAACTTAGTACAGGAGGTGCGAAATCTGAAAGAACGGATGGAGGGGAAAGCCAAGTCCCCAGGACGTACGTTGCTGACCGCCTTACCCTTCTCGGACGAGGTTATGGCTTTTAAGATATCGAGTGACTTCAAGTTCCCGGAGCAAGCCACGTTCGATGGAACCGGCGATCCCCGTGAGCATTTGCTGAGCTATCAGGCTAAGATGCAGGTTTTGGGGGTACGAGATCCGGTCATGTGTCGCGCTTTCTTACCCACGTTGAAGGGTCAGCACAAAGGTGGCTGGTGGCGCAGCCCTCAGGGTCGATTCACAACTTTGAAGAGCTGGCAGACCGCTTCATGAGCCATTACGCCGCTAATATCAAGCCACAAAAGGACCTAACTCACTTGGGGTGACATCCGTCAAGACGAAGGCGAATCTTTGAAAACCTATTTGGCCCGCTGGCAGAGAGAAATCCAGTCCATAGAGGAGGTTGAGGACCAGACAGCGCTCACCTTCTTCATCGAGTCGCTGCGGTCCGGCCAGCTGTACCGAGACTTGAGGGACAATCGTCCGGCCACCTACGCAGAAGCGATTCATATGGCCAACAAGAGGGCCAATACGGAGCAGGCTATGAAGTACAAGCGACAGCGCGAAGTCGGCGGATCCGCCAGCGGAAAGAGGACGCGAGCGGAAGCCAAAGAAAGGCGCCCGGACGTGGCTCGGCGACCCAAAGTTAGACGGCCGTACGACCGATCAGTGGTCCACGCTTATCGGCCGATTCCCGAGCGTCCGGTCCACGAGGTACAAGCGGTTGCCCCGCCTCCGCCTCCGCCGACTGATGATCGCGCGACAAACGAAGAGGTGGGTAAGAACTCTAAGTATTGTCGTTATCATAAATCTTATACTCACAGTACGGAGGAGTGCTTCTACCTGAAGAAGATCATGGAGGGTATCATCCAGCAAGGAACCCCGCCTCCTAACCAATGGAGGCGGAGGCCGGGCAGTCGAAGGGATGAGGAACCCGTCGCCGTTGCCGAAAGCAGTCGAGGCAAGCAGCCAGTTCCCGAAGAGGAGGAGGCTCAGTGGCGCCAGAAACCGGTTATCAACATGATAGTCGGCGGGCCGGAAGGTGGTGATTCAGCGAACACCAGAAAAGCTTGGGCCCGGCAGTTGTACGTCGGGACAGTGTACGGGCGTGAGGAGAACTCTAAAAAGGTGTGTCGAGAGCCCATCGTGTTCACCGACAGAGACTTACCAGCCGGAGAAATACCGCATCGAGATGCGTTGGTTATAGCCATGGACGTCAACGGCATCGTCGTTCGGCGAATCCTGGTGGACACCGGGAGCAGCGTCAACGTGCTATATCTAGAAACCTTCACGAAAATGGGGCTGACTCGAGAACAGCTGAACCCCGTCAAAACTCCCCTCGCCGGCTTCACAGGGGACTCGGTGGAGGCAGAGGGGTCAATCACACTTCCAGTTGAGATTGGCACGTACCCGGACGTACAGAGACTCAGCATGAAATTTATTGTGGTAAACCTGGCCTGCTCGCATAACGCTATACTCGGCCGACCGGGTCTTGAGGATTTAGGGGCTTTGATCTCAATTGAGCATCTCTGCCTGAAATTCCGCACACCAAATGGAGTAGGTACGGTGCGCTGTGACCGAAAGGTCGCCCGCGACTGCTATCTGCAGGCATGCAGAGGGATGGGCAAACGCGAGATGCAGATCCATGAGATCACTGAGAGGCCCCCGAAGAAGACGATACTACCTCGCCCAGAGCCTGCTGTCCAGTTGGAGGAAGTCGAGATCGACTCTACGCAACCGGACCGACGGGTCCGAATTGGAGTCGGCCTCTCTGAGACATTGAAAAAAAGAAATTGTAAAGGTGCTCCGAGAGCACCAGACGTTTTCCGCCTGGGGCCCCGAGGACATGCCTGGTGTCGACCGATCAATCATATCGCACAGACTCGCCGTGGATCCGGAGCACCGACCGGTCGTACAGAAGAAACGATACCTGGCCAACGACCGGAGGGAATTTGTGAAGAAGGAAGTTGGCACGCTACTAGCGGCCGGGCACGTCCGCGAGGTTAAGTACCCGGAGTGGTTGGCAAATGTGGTCCTCGTACCCAAGCCCCCGACGTGGCGAATGTGCGTGGATTACACCGATCTTAATAAGGCTTGTCCGAAAGACCCGTTTCCCCTACCTCGGATCGACCAGTTAGTCGACGAAACGGCCGGGTCGGCGCTATTGAGTTTCATGGACGCCTTCAGAGGGTACCACCAAATATTTATGCACCCGGCGGATGAGGAGAAGACCGCCTTCCTGACACCGGACGGAGTTTACTGTTACCGAGTCATGCCCTTCGGACTTAAAAAATGCCGGGGCTACGTACACCCGAATGGTCGCCCGGTTGTTCCAACACCTGCTTGGGAAATCGATGGCTGCGTATGTCGACGATATGCTCGTCAAGAGCCGGGAAGGGGACAAGCATACGAAGGACCTGGCCGACTGCTTCAAGGTAATGATGAAATACAACCTTCGGCTGAACCCCAAAAAGTGCGCGTTCGCCGTCCAAGGTGGCAAATTCTTGGGCTACATGGTTACCAAACGAGGCATCGAGCCTAATCCGGAGAAGGTACAGGCCATCATCGACATGCAGCCTCCTACAACCGTCAGGGACCTACAACGGTTGACTGGCCGATTGGCCGCCCTTAGCCGCTTCTTGAGCAAAGCGGCGGATAAGACCGTGCCTTTCTTCGAAGCCATGAAGAAGAAGGAGGGATTCGCTTGGACTGCCGAATGCCAACAATCGTTCGAGGAGTTGAAACAGTACCTCTCAACGCCCCCAGTGCTGTCTACCCCCAGGTGGCGAGCCCTTATTCTTGTACCTCGCCGCCTCAGCCAAGGCAGTGAGTTCGGTGTTGGTCCGAGAGAGGACCGAGTCCAGCACCCGCGTTTATTACGTAAGTCGCTCGTTGAAAGGCCGCTGAGACGCGGTACACCGTTCTGGAAAAGGTTGTGTATGCGTTGGTAGTCACCGCGCGCAAGCTGGCACCCTATTTCCAAGCCCATACCGTTCGAGTTTTGACAGACCAGCCGCTCGGAAGCGTGCTAAGAAACCCCTTGTCCTCCGGTCGACTTGTAAAATGGGTCGTAGAGTTGACTCAGTATGGGATTGAGTACCAACCCCGGCCTTCCATCAAGGGTCAAGCCTTGGCCGACTTCCTGGTCGAATGCACGGCAAGTGAGGAGGAAAAGGAACACGCCTCGGAGAGCTGCCCAGGCGAGTGGTGGGAAATGCACGCGGATGGAGCATCGAGTCGATAGCACTGTGGAGGCGGTGTCATGCTCGTCACTCCGGAAGGATTCCGGCTATATTACGCTCTGAGATACTTGTTCTCGACATCAAATAATGAGGCCGAGTACGAAGCGGTATTAAACGGTCTCCGACTCGCCAAGGCCCTGGGAGTCGAGCGCTGCGAATCAAGACTGACTCCAGACTGGTAGTCGGACAGATCTCGGGTACGTGTGAAACTAAGAATGCAAGGATGGTACTATACAAAGAGCGTGCGGTCGAGATGTTAAAAGGGTTCGGGCTTACGAGATAGAGTACATACCCCGCGCGGACAACATGGAAGCCGACCTATTGTCCAAAATTGCCCTGGAAGGGGTACCGGACCACCTGATAAAAATTTGCCAGAAGGAGGAGCTAAATCGGCCGAGTGTTGAAGAGGCACCACTGGAAGTCCAGCGAGTAGATATCGAGGAATGGGATCGAGGGAAAAATCCCGAAATGTTCTGGATAGAGGACATCCGGC